GCGTCTACTCCGGCAGAGAAGTGGATGTAGGTTCGACCAAGATCAGTTGTGATCTCGGGGGCCCAGATAGCGCCCATGTTCTTCGTGTCGGACCAGACTAGCTCGCGTCGAACATCAGACGCGCCAAGGCCTTCGAGCGAGGATGCAGCTCGAACATAGATGCCACCTGCAGATTCAGCCGAGTAGTAGGTATCCCCGATCTTCATCACAGTTGGATCCGCGCCATCTCTGATCTTGACGGCTGAGGTACAATCGGCAAAGAGAAGAAAAGCGCAGAGCGCCAAAAACACAGCGGCAGATTGCCGCTGGAATGAGATTGCAAGGAGGTTCAACATGATTAGGCGGTTTCGTGTTGCTGATGTCCAGTATACTACTTTCTCATTAACTTTAGTTGCACAGGGCGTTTCTTTATACCAAAGTGTCATTCGGTCCGCCTAGCATACCCCCTGGATTTCACTTGATTTCTCAAGGAACTCCATTCGCTGATACCACCGACCCGTTGCTCCTTCTCGGAGTACAGATCCTGAATAAAGTCACCACATACACTTGCAGTCGATAGGCGGCCGACAAGGCATCTTGGCATAAGCACAGCAGCGTGGGGCTGGCTGCGCCTTCATTGGCGAGAAGGGCAAGTTTTAGGTGATTCCCGTACATTGCATGTTTAGAAAACCACTGTCATGCGAAGGAATTTCCAAATCACGAGAGAGAAATAGACGTCATTGTCTTGACTAAGAGGTCTTATTCGATGTCGGCAATGTGATGAGGGCTCAGAAGCTGAACGCCAAGTGATCCTCCAATGGTGGCGATGTTGCTGCAAGTCACATCCGCAATTGTCAGCCCGCAGCCATAGCGTGTTTTCGCAGCCACTCCCGCGGCGTTTGACAACTAGCAGCTTAGTCTTGACGCAGGACGAGAAATATCAGCCAATGTTGTTGGAATGCAAGACTTGGTTACAAACACCCTAGGGAGAGAGGGTGTTGTGGCCGGCAAGCAAGGTACGGCCACGTCTTACTCAGCCCTGTTGACGAGGAGGGCTTTTGAGGAGACTTACAGCATAAGGCAGCTTCGTAAGGAGGGCATCGCGGCTGTTCGAGTGCCGAGCCTCGGGCGGTACGCTTAGTCTAGCGGTTGACTAATGATTTCAGTAGCGACATGTCTAGGTGCCTAACACCGCGAAATCATCCCTTTCGAGTGTCAAGTTTCGTTTGCGCATTAGCACTGGTCATCTCGGACTTTTTAAGAGTGGACATGTCGATCTTTATCCCTAAATGCTGGATTTGCACCCAATAGGCAATTCGCCTCACCGGGACCTCCCGCCAGCCTCACCCGCGCGTTTTCTTGCCATAGGTCTTGGCGTCGACCTAAGAAAAAACGTCTCACTTGATACGGGCTGCGGCTGGTAAGCTCGGATTCATATTTCTGCTCTTGTCATCGACATCATATAATTGTGGTACCTGAACGCACGGAACACTAATCCTGGACGAGACCTTTGCCTACATGTGCTTCTGTAGCCGGCTATAGGTGTAGTGTCCGAGAACTAGTCCATTCACTTTGATGCATATTTGTAGGTTGGAAACTAGGGCATTAAACTGATCACACTCGTCTCTAGTAGCACATTGTATGGGAATGGTGAAGGAAGTCGGTGTTGAATACTTATTGCGGTGTCTTCAAATAAGCGAAGCTGTGCCTCTTTGGGGCGCAAAAGTGGAAACTGAAGGATTGCTCCCTCGTGAGACAATGAGGGGGTGGTAAGACAGTTCCAACTCGCGCCACCTCGTCAAGTGCATGAATTCTCCAGTAAGACTCCCCTAAGATGTAAATCGACGATAGGTGCTAGCGGTTTGCTCTCTAATGGAATGCCAGAAAGCAACCTTGTTGCGCAGTATCGCGGAAGAGCAATAACGGGCAGGTGTTCTTGTTATTCCCGGCGTGTATTTCACAGATCTTGGAAGCGGGGGACTATGGGCAATGGTACTTGACATTAGGACAATGTCTATTGCGAAGACTTACTAGACTCCACAGGGGCTGGAATAACGTGGATTTAAGCGGCCCCAGCTCGGAGACTAAGTTGTGCTCCACGACTTTCGGATATCTCGGCTCCAGAGTTCGGACTCATTTTTTCGTTGATCAGGCATGGATCCTTATGCCAAATGAGTGGGCTGCCGCGGTTTGCTGTAGGCTGAGTGTGAACGATTGCGGATGTTGTCATGCTGATCCCCGATGTTGTCACTTTTCATACCCACAATTGTTACTTCCATCCCTTTCTTCAATTCCAACAGCCAGCCTGCATGGTATGGTGGTAGGAATACCGAAAGGAACAGGAAACCGCCAGCTGGTGAAACTCGAAAAAATCCTTTGAATAGCTTGTCTTACCATTAACTTTGCGAAAGCGCTCATCAAGCTCGGGCGAAAGGTCCACCGATCAGCATGAGAAGATCGTCACAAAACGACTAAGACTCACCATTCCCGCTAGCTTCATCCAATGACGAGTTGAGGCTATGCCACGGTGAATGAGGAAGCGAACAGGCCAATAGGGATTACCTGAGCGCGCTTCCGTACCGTTGGGGAATTGAGAGGCACGGAATGGTATCTGACGTTGAAGGGGATCTTGTAAGATGACACGAAGTAGAGTAGCCAGGCAAGAAGACAATGGGAGAAACTGCTTGCGAAGGTGTTGCCGAGAAGCGTTCTCAATAACGCATCAAGGTGGAATGTACGAGGACAAAAAAGTATAAGAAGGTGCAGAAGCCACTTGCAATTCTAACTTCCATCTCCAGCTTACTCACAACATCTACAAGATCATCCACAACACCGATATCACATTTCCTCTGCAACTATCCCCTATTCACACTCTACTCAACCCATCAAAATGCAGTTCTTCACCATCCCCCTTGCCATCTTCGCCGCCGGCGCTATCGCCATGCCCAACGGCTGGGTCGAGACTCGTGATCTCGAAGCTCGTGTCGACTGCAGCCAGATTCTCCCTGCCTGCAACGGCGGCAAGGTTGTTGGACAGACCAACTGCCGCTGCAGTGGCCAAATCTCTGCCTGCGACCTCTGGACCTGCCCTGGCGGAGCCCCCAACGCCGTAAGTACTCTACTTGTTTTGAATAATACTCACGAAACAGTAACTAATTAATCATCTCGATACCCAGATGGTCTGTGGTCAGGAGGGCAGCGGATGTGTGTGGATCTAAGCTCTACTCGTATCAGTTTGGCGATGATAGCAATATTCTCACGGCCAATGCCTGTCCCGAATATGTCTTAAGGGCAATGTCAGGGAATCTCAGGGCCAGGCTACGGGAAGAAACCCTTCTTCTTTTTTCATGTTTCCACTTCTTTATGTTTGCATGATTTGTAAGTCATGCACTCGTACACAGTCGTTCCTTAGAGATTTACAAATAAAATGCCGGGGCCCAGGCATCATTTGAAATAACAGCAATAAGACCTCCTAGCTAATGTGAAATATTACTCGTGGATATCATTGGTGAATCTCTTGGACTGGTTTTTGGATTTCCCAAGCTATTGTGTCTAGGTAGGTACATGTACGCTTGGCCACCAGAAATGTCAGCAAAAACTCCCGAAGACCTAGTTAACTAGCCATGTTTTATAATCAAGAAGTAACAAAACAGCCTCAATTCCACATGAATCATGCAACCAAGATAGTGAATTCTTGTTCAACATCAAAAGAATCTAGTAAAGCCCCTGGAGAAGTTATAAGACCGAGAACTTAGACCAAGACAAGATCTTCTTCCGCAGCCCCATGCTGGTCAAATGGCGTGGTAAAACCATCCTCTACGAGGTCATCAATGAAGATGAAAACACCTATATGTCGCCAACGTATCAATCCCTGAGCATCTGTTGAGTCTGCTGGTACGACGACAATGCCGGCGTACTGATAGGTTGGACTCCAAGAGTCCGTAATGTTCTCTCTTTGCTGCCGCTTCAGGCTATATGCATATTGCATAGCAGAATCATCAGTGTAGAATGCTTGTTCCACAGTCAGTATCATGCAAGCATCTTAAAGCAGTTGATCTTCTTCCTTAAGAAGACGGTTATCGTGAGCATATTTGAAGCCCTTAGACCAAGCCCAGTGTTGACTTACTTGCAACCAGACTTTCTTCATGCCCAACACCCACTTATAATCCCCAAACGGCAGCACATACAGCAGTTTCAGCTCGTCTCTCCACTCGAGGGTGCATGGGATCCGCTTTGCTCTGATTGTTAGGGTCATGCCAGCAAATTTGTACAGCAGTGAGTCGGGATTCGCTGAGCCGTCGGGGTGATAATATGCAACTGTCTTCGCTTTGTATATAGAAAAATGTCGGTAGGTCTGCATCGTTGTTCGGAAGGGAAAATCAAGAACATCGTTTCCGAGAGCCGTTTTGTATGTTGGGACAGAGAACCAGGACCAACTTGGCGCTGACTCTGACTCCTTTCTGACCCGTTCATAGTCTGTGACGTTGACTGGGACAGGGCTCACAGACCATAGCAGGTCGTACTCGAGAAACTCCTTCCAGAGACCAGCCAGGTATGTGACGTTAGCCTTGGCTTGATTCGCGCGAGCAATACCAGCAAAGGCAATTCCGCGGTCCGTCTCTTTCGTGAGATTTCCTGCGCGATAATCTCGAATCAGGGAAGCCCACTGCATTTCGCCGGTGGTGGCTTCCGCACTGCCAGTTTGACGTTGGAGCTCCCGACCGCCGAGCAAGAAATCGGTCAGGCGGGTGATTATGCGATGGAAATGCACTTTCGACCCGGAAAGTGTAGCCAGGGGCCCATAAAATTCGTCTTCAGCCCCATTGCAACACTCCCAAATGAGTCGATCCTGACCATAATATACTGTCCGGGGACAAAGAAGTCGTTCTTGAAAGACCCATCCCCTCGAGAGAAGCGGCCAAACTGACCTGTAGTGTGTAGGTAGCCAAGCAGGCCGTATGTACCCAGGCGTATGCTGTATGACTAGATCTTCGGGCGCTCTGGATCTTCTCGATCCATACTTACAAGGCATAGGATTGTGACAAGGCAAATGTATCCTGGGATCTCACAGATGATTGTTTGATGACTCCGATGCAGGGTGGAAGGTGTAGGAGATATTGCAGCTGGACCGCCCGCACACCGCCGCCATCTTGACGGCTTCTTTTTGCCAGTCTTCTTTTGAGTCTTGGATGATGCAGAGAGAATCGATCCAAATGTAGCGAAACACTAAGGCCCGTGTGATTTGAATGGCGTCGACATATTTCTGAGGCAAATCTTGCATGGAAATACTGCGTGAGAACGAATCTATAGTTGACGCCAGTAGCTGTGGACACAAGGAAGGATCGGATCCCCATATGTGACTGAGAGTTGTGTATTCTAGCAGCCCAGGTGTCATTGCTCCGACATCACATTCAAGACGCACGTTGTCTCCACTGACGTTTAGTAACCTTGAGGGTGCCTGATTTGTCGGGGAAACAACGCTCGGAAATTGGCGACATGCAGCATGCTGCTCAGTACAACCCAATTGCCACTTCTTGATGACTTCAAAGTTAACGTTATTGCGCGAAGAGAGCGAAACTGAGCTATGTCGAAGGGAGTCACTGTTCAAGTCTGGACCTGAGGCTATCGTCAGCGGCTGACCATTCGAGTATCAACACTTAGGCGATATACTCACTCGTACGTCGATGGATATATAAGTAACTGGCTATTTCGCTGCCCAAGGCTGTGGTCTTCAATTTGATGTAACCCTTGTCTGATCTGCAGCTGGTCAGAAACGAAAGCGAACGGGCCGAAAGGGTGGCTAACATGTAAGGCATGGGGGCGATCGTCCACCGAGCTTTCTTTTTCCAATTCGTTCCCCTTTGGACCTCAATGGCATACTCTTTCTCATCATCACGGGCTTCAAGCCTCACAGCTAGTGGAGTGCTGTAATCCATAGCCCTTGCTGACCTTGCCGGATCCAATAAGTGCGCCGCAACCCGGTCCCACAAGAGTGCACATAGATGGCAATCTCTCGAGTAACCGGCTTTCAGTTCAACAGGCGTTCCAACATGGGCAATCTCGGAGGCAAGGATCCTGATGCGGCCCCGCCGAGCGAGAGTCCGAAGGAGGGGACTTGTGGTGGTGAACTTGGCGCAAGGGCCGCACAGCTGGTGCAGATGAATAACAGCGTTCTCCTCGGCAGAATGCTCATATCGAAGCCCGAGTGCAAGCTTGAAAGCACTGGCCGTGCCAGTCCTCGGAGAATCCATACTAGCAACGGAAGTGATTTCCACTTTGAGTTGAGAGACTTCTGCGGATTGTCAAAAGGCTGCCACCGCGTCATTTTGGTTTTCCAGAGTCAGGCTTCATTCCCGGCCGGTCAGAATCAAGAGTTTGTCACTCTGTGTCCCCAGATGGCCTAGACCATGTGATGTGATGCACTTGCCCCGGTCTTCGCCCAAAATCACTAGTGCTTACGACAAGGGAAGGAAATACGTTTGCCCTTTTTCGCCAATCGTATTCTCACGACCAATCGATTGGATACACAAGATCTTTCCGCAGCGAATCTAGGCACAATTCATCCCGCTTGTTGCCCGTAGGATCATGATCCACAAAACCGGCGCTCCACCCGGCTCAGGATCCAGAGTCCGTGTCCGTATTCGTATCCTTTTGATATGAAAGACGCGCTCACATGCGACGCGTTGAACTCTGTGGGCAAGCGCTCAATATTGATCTTTGCCGCATGTTTGGTTCAAGAGCAAAGGTAGAGACGCATGATGTTGTCGGATCTGGCCACCTCAATTTGAATCTCCGCACAATCAGATACCCGGTTCAGTTACTTGTTCAGCTGCAGAGTGGAGCTGCAGGGACTAGCCCCTGAAGTTGAGTGGTTCGATGTTCATCAGATTCCCTCGGCACCTCCCATCTTATGTGCACTCAATGGTCCCAATTCGTTGGAAACTCTCCACTGACCTGGCGGAATACCGTTGCACCCTCGCTGTGGGTTGTGGCCTCTACAGTGTGCTGAGATGCTGCGCGATCAGTAGCAGCAATGACGGACAGGGGGGTACGATGACATGATTTCTGGGGAGATGTAATTTTAACAGTGTCATTTTTGATACCCATGCAAATGAATCATCACCCCACGATCACAAAATGTCACTCAGAGCGCCTTGTGACATCTTCTTTTGGGCAATGGAATTATAATTACTTCTATTTGTTTTATCGCTGTCTAAAGGAGAAGAAAATGCACGGTTCATGTCGCCATCAGATTGTTTCGTTTCAATCACGTCGGGTCCACCTGATGGGTGATGGTTGAGGAGGGCGCGCGAACATGGAGGTGTTATCCGTAGGAGGCACCACACCTTCTTTGCCATCCATGGTTGACAGTTTGAAGTTGCGGATGAGTGTGCCAACAATGACACCCAAGTTGAGATACGCAAACTTCTCGCCAATGCAGCGATGTCTTCCAGCTCCGAAGGGGATGTAGGGGCTTCTGGTGCCCTTGTTCACGAGACCATACCCATAGTCCACAGCGTCACCAGCATGTTCAACTTCTTGATGATCGTCCCAACGGTGAGGGTTCCAGCTCTTGGCATCTGTGAAGAACTCGTTGCTCGTTGCCGTTACCATTGGTGAAGCCAGGAGCACTTGGTCAGTGCCGACGACGTACGGGGTGCCGGGAATGGTGAGAGGGTTCTTGACTTTGCGGAGGATAGAGTGGATGGAGCCATGAAGGCGGAGGGTTTCCTTGACGACATTGTGCAGAAGCGGGAGCTTGTCCAGGTCTGAATACTGAAGGGGGGCCAAGTTCTCTTTCTTGCCTTGAGCAAGGTTCTGGACTTGCTCCTCGTAGAGTTCCTCGGCGATCTTAGGGTGTGCCGCGAGACGAAGCATGATCCAACCGGCTGCTGAGGACGAAGAATGCTGACCTCCCATGAGAAGCGTGATCATCATGTGCGCGATCTCTTTGTCGGGGACCGGGGTGCCGTTCTTGTAGCTCGAGTTCATGAAGTTCGTAATCATATCGTCTTCAGTATCACCGTTCTTGCGACGTCTCTGAATGATGTCCTCGTATATCGCTCGCATCTTCTCGTGGGCAGCGTCTCGGCGACGGTTTCGGGGCAGAGGCAACCAAGGAAAGAGGAAGTTGACCGGAGTGAAGCCCTAGAAGGAAACTGCTGTTAGAAAGAGACGGTCTTCTGAGAATGTGTGATTCTTACCATATCAAGGTCGTGGTACAACTTGGCAAATTCGGCAGAAAGCTTCTGTCGTACCTCTTTACCCTGGAGGGAGCGCGCCGCCGTGAGAAGGGTAATCTCAGAAATGGCACCAGAAATGTCGACAACCCCAGATGGACCCTTGAATGCGGGGGCAGTCTTGATGTAGTCCAGAACCTCCTTCTCAATCAAGGGCACGTGCGACTCGAGTGCCTTCTGTGTCAGACCGAATTTGACAAACTTCTTCTGTTCCATGAGCTTCGAATTCGGACAATCGTAGACGACGTCGCTACCGAATACTGGGGTCGTGAGTGGGCCATAGATCTCCTCGGCGCTGATGTCTTGGAGCTTGCCGTTGAGGATGAAGTCGTTGCCCTCGATCCCAAGGAAGCATGTGATTTTCCTGCCGAAGAGGGTGAATGTGAAGACATCACCATACTTCATTATGGTTAGCTAACGGAAACCAACGCTACCCGTGTCCTCTATCGAGAAACGTACCTTGGCGCGGTATTTCTCGAAGAAAGCCACAGGGTCCATGCCGTATGACACTGCATTTCCAACGTAGGGTATCCAATGGAAGACGGTCGGTGGTAATGATTTGTTCTGGAAGAAGAGCTGACGGCAGATGCTGATGATGATGGAGACTGCTAGTCCAGCAAGGCCATAGACAACGAGAGGGCTCATGGTCGACGGCCTCGGAAGTTCTATGCCTTCCATCATTTTGGCGTGGGCTCGGGTGTGGCGGCGGTGGCTAGGGAGGGATTTGCAGGGGGAGCAGAGGCTGGAAGGCAAGAGAGCCAATGCAAAAATGGTCGGGAGACAGAGCACCTTTAAATCTCCTTCTCATATCATGGCTTCCAAAAGCGAGATCTCTATCGTACTACTTTGACTTATTGTTTGATTGCTTCTGGTCTGCTACGGTGTTGGTGAACCCATTGTGGTCTTCGTCTCGTATTCGTGTTAGGTACGTACCACTTTGACCCCTGTTGGGCTAGACCAACACCGATGACGCCTCCAGACCGTGGAACGATTCTGGAGTTGGACTTCGCAGTCCAAGACTCTTCTGGGAAGCTTCCCCATTCTAACGGGAAGCTGCGGTGTGCTTAAGCGACATTTGGATTGGGCCATCGGCGCCGTGATCCTCTGTAACTGTCAAAACTTCACCCCTGGCAAGTTGCAGCCTTGACTGAAAGTGACGCCACTTGCCTCGAAACCCCTGGCGGGCGGGCCTGTAAGATCAAGGGAATGGTCAGCATGTCACTTTCACGTGACTCGAATCTTGGATCAATCATTAAGGCACTGATTACTCTCAAAGTTGGCTAGGCTCAGGAGGGCGGGCTGGTATTGAAATTCGGGTCTTGACACCCTTCGTGATATCACTAAGCTCTCATCGTTGGGTTCTCGTCACTACTAACATGTAGCTACATTGAAGTTGCTGGGCCGGGACAAACTGTTGCTGATTTTGGCATTGTCATTACTCTGTTCGACCGACGTATTAGTTCTCTTACGACATGAGCGCAACCTTGTCCGAATAATTGACAACCCATGTAATTCAAAAAGCGATGAAGTCTTCCCAATTCTTTAGATGGACACCTTTAACAACTAGAAGCCTTCAAATATTGTTCAAAGTGCGGGGTAGAGATGCAGTAAATGGCTGGCTTGGCGGGGATCTTTTCGTGGGGTCGCGCGGAGTAAGTGAACTCAGATTCGAGGACTCCAATTCCTCCGCTGGAGATCATCTCGAAGGCGGCGAATTTCGGGAAATCTCATGGCGAGATGAGATTTAAACAGCTCTTCTCACCCTCGCTTTGCACCAGGTCAAACCCCGTACAACTGCATCGATAGATTAGACGCCGATATCTACTGCACGCTATGCGCCATGAGGTTTCCTCACCTTCATGTCTTTGCTTTGCCCCTCCTCATTCTGCTCTCCCATGCAACAGGTTGCAAAACTGATGAAGACTGCAGTTTGAATGGGATTTGTTCCTGGGGAGTATCATGCGCCTGCGACCCAGGATGGCGGTCAGCAGATTGCAGCGAATTGGACCTCCAACCTGTAGAGCGATGGACGGGTTACAACCACACGAATGCGACTGGCACAGACTTCTACAAGGAAGGCGCAGGCAACTCTTCATGGGGTGGACACATCATTCATGACCGCTCCGACAAGAGTCTGTTCCATCTAGTCACGTCCCAGATGTCTCACGGCTGTGGACTCGCGGGTTGGAGACCTTTCAGTACAGTCATCAGAGCCGAATCGCGCACCGGCCCTAGAGGTCCATACAACTACGCGCAAACACTATTTGGGACTTTCCATCATAACCCAACGACGATTTGGAGTCCAGCAGATGAAAAGTACTTGATCTACTTCATTGGAAGGGATTATGAAGTTGGTGACGTCTGTCGGTCACAAAAGTGGAACAATACTATTTCGGTCTCGAGTTCACCAGACTTGAAGGAGTGGACAGAGCCGATACCGCAAGTTATTAATGTCACAAATCCGGCTCCTTGGCCCCTGTGGTCGCCCAAAAACCCCACCAAAGAAATCTTGCTGGCAGTCGAAAAGAATAACATCTATCATGCCGATAACTTTTCTGCTCCGCATGAATTGGTAGTGGAGCCCCGCAACACGGAACGAAGCGAGGATCCGTTCCTCTGGAGAGACAAGCGCGGGCATTGGCACATCCTCGTGCATCACATGATCGACATCGCTGAGGGAAGAAAGGGACCGCGTGTTGGCGCGCATGCCTTTGCACGGAAATGGGAAGGCCCGTGGACCTACAACAGCAACACTCTGGCATACAACACCACTGTTGAGTTTACTGACGGAGAGAAGCTCGATTATTACAGGCGAGAGAGACCGAAGCTGTACTTCAGTGAAGACGGGAACATGACCCCACTCTACCTGCTCAACGGAGTTCAAGAGTTTAACAACTCGGGGAGCTATACGTTAATCCAGCCGATCGGGGAGGGGGCTGCGGCGTATGAAAAGCAGCTCGGATTCGGAGAGGTTGCTTGACTCGGCGGTTAGTGTGGCGGAATAGATCGCT